CCGCCTATACATACAAATATTTTTTTTCTCTTTATGTACAAAAAATACAAATACGATTGGGGTAATGCGTAATAAACAAACAGGTAAAAGCTTAATGCAAGTGAAGACACTTGCAACTGTTTGTTTGATAGTTCAAGTGCAAGAAGAGCTGCTTATACTTAAAGAACTAGGATCGCACAGGCAAGTGAGCGCTTTAATTATGTGTTCATTCACCATGATTTTGTCTGCTCCGACTTCTCTTACTGCAAGCTAATCAATTATGAATTGTGAATGGGTGGTAATATTTTTCTACGATGAGCTTGGTTACCTTTGATTAGGTTGTTCTTGCAAGATACTAAAAAGAGCTGAGATACGTGACTGTCCCAGGAAAAATGGACCATGGATAATGCAGGAAAATAAATAGTGTGTTTGAAATCATATTTTAAATCCTGAAACATGCCACAAAATAATATGTTCGAATGATCTGTTCTTTTGGCATTTCAAATAAATGATTACATGTGAAATAAAGTGCTCTCCCTCAGCAATACCTCCTCCATGAACAACTGCAGCCATTTACAGCACAAAATTAAGGACATTTTTTTGGCATTAAATAATGGTGCAAATAACATTAGTAAATCCCATTGCATGATTCATTTCATTTAGTGCTGGGCAAAAATGAATCCCATTAGTCGCATCTAAAATAAAAGTTTGTTTTGACGTAATAGGTGTGTGTGTGTGTGTGTGTGTGTGTGTGTGTGTGTGTGTGTGTGTGTGTGTGTGTGTGTGTGTGTGTGTGTGTGTGTGTGTGTGTGTGTGTGTGTGTGTGTGTGTGTGTGTGTGTGTGTGTTCCGTGTATATGTATTAGATATATAAAAATACACACATGCATGCATATATTTGAGAAAATTTGCCTACTTGCCCAATTACCTGAACCTGCCTAGTTAACCTAATTAACTTAGTTAAGCCTTTAAATGTCGCTTTAAGCTGTATAGAAGTCTCTTAAAAAATATATAGTAAAATATTATTTGCTGTCATCATGGTAAAAATAAAATAAATCAATTATTAGAGATGAGTTATGAAAACTATTATGTTTAGAAATGTGTTGAAAAATGTTTCTCTCCGTTAAACAGAAATTGGGGGAAAATAATTCAGGAGGGCTAATAATTCTGACTTCAACTGTACATATATTGTGTCAAATAGAGGTGTGAACCTACTCTGGACTCACGGTTCTGTTCGGTTATTAAGCAAACAATTCAGTTAAATTCTACATCTCGGTGCATCTTGTTGCATTGACAATGCTTTGCATACACACCTTTATATCTTACTAACCCTATCCCTAATCCAGTGCAATAATTAAAATGTATCATTTTTAAATCATTTTATGCTCAAAGTAAACACTCATCAAACCAAACTCAAGGACATGCACAGAACAATCTGAGCATTTAACAATTTTTTGAGAAAAAAATATTTTTGAAGAGTTGTCGAGCAAGCAAGTTGTTAAACTCTTATGATTGATCACACCCTCAACAGAAAGGGCTGTGATTGGTTCTAATGCGCTGGCACTGTTCACCAATCAGTGACACTGATAAATGAACGCAGCGTTCTCAGCTGATTTGTGATCGATGCAGTGAAAAAAACTCACTCTGCAGACAAGCTCATGTCTGAATTTAAAAGTATCGCTGGAACAGCAGGTCAAAGGGGCCACTGTGACAGAGAGAGAAATGAAGTTTACTTTCATTTTCTCCACTGGAGTGAAATAGGGGCTCTGCTGTAGCTTCAATGTCAGCAATGTGCTTTTGGAATTACTTGCGCTTGCATTGCTCGCCATATATTCTACTGTGACTTAGCATCTATGAGATAAATGACGTCAATGTTTAATAACCGGTTAGGATCGATTACAAACCAATTCAGTGCATTATGTTGCACTGAAGAAACAATTCATTTTGACACCCCTAATGTCAAAACAAACTTTTATTTTGGATAGATTAGTCAAAATTAATCTTTGTCCAGCACTGATGTAAAAAGACTCTACCGTGTACTCTTATATTCACTCTCAAATACAAATTTTAGCTTGACAGGGTAACGAAAAAATATCAGTTTGCTCTGGCAGAAGTTTGCTCTGGCAGAAGTTAATTTTGCCCTAAAAAAGTAAAAGTTTCCTCAAATAAAAATTTGTTTGATAATATAATTTACTAAAATGTAATAGTGACGTAAAATAGTTCATGTTGGGAACTAAGATTCACGCTAATGTACAACTGATGTATCACTCTTTCAGTTAATGCAACATGCTGAACTGTTCCTCAATATAAACCTGTAACTTGCTTTCTCAACGAAGAATCGTTCATTCATTAATCAATTTATTTGTTCAAATACTCATACATCCATTAATTGACTTGAATAACTCACCTGTTCATATATTGTACAACTATCTTGCTTAATCTTTAACTCACTTTATACACTTTTGCCATCCAAAAAAAAAAAAAAAGAAGAAGAACAGGCAAAAAGTAATCAAGCGTTCATCAATGTATAACAAGTTCAGTACATCAGTTCTGCTTTCAGTTTCAATATGAAAATTCGTGTTAAGGGATGAGATTCAATAGTAGGGCAGCTCTACTGACCCCAACTAAACAAGCCAATGAACCACTTATTCAGTTAAAGCAACACACTTAATCATTGATTCACTGAGTCAGTAATGCATTCAGGCATTTATTCACCAACTCACTCACTCGCTCAGTTGCTTATTTACTGATTCATGGAGTGAATCATTTACTCTGTTGTTCATTGTAACTTAATGAAGTGATCCAGTCATAATTGTTTCATTCACTTATGAATTTATTCACAAACTCTCTAGTTTTTGACATTTTTGTCGCTTACAAAATCAATAATAATCTTAATCAACTCTTACTTGTTAACTGATTTATTCATTCAGTGATTCATTTGGCCTCTTAATAACTGATTCATCTACTTAACCGTTTACCGAATCTGTTCATTTACTTTTTCACGTTCCCTCGTCCTCACAGTTTCCAGCAAGAAACACAGACAAATGCAGCCAGGTGTTGAAAATTCTGACTTCTTTCAGAGCTGTAATCATCTTATGGATCCAGCACACGGGGTGAGCCGATGGCAGAGAGTCGCATCTCCAGAGCACTGTCGTCCACGCACAAAGAGCTTTAAAAAAGAACTGGAGAGAATAGAAGTATTTAGTGCCGCTCAATACAGAATGAGCTTGTGTGATTTCTGTCCCAAAAAGGCCTGTCCAGCCCCTGCAGTCATTATTTGCTATTATTATTATTATTATTATTTTCTGACAATTGATTTTTCTCTCACCTTGGTTTCAAAGCACAGATTATTTTCAACGTGGGTTCTCGGCGCCTGTTTTCTCTGTTGTATTTATGTGATGTTCTGTGTCAGCTGGCCTATGAGAGATGCTAGTTAAAAACGCTCGTCTGTTGTTTTCTTCTTCTTTTCATCTTCTCCTTTTTATGTTGCTTTACTCGTTTGATCTTTAATGTGTAATTCAGAGTTTGAAAAGTTAATTTGAAAGCGTAGCTTGCAAACAACAAACTTCCATTGAAATTAACTAACTAAAAGTAGTGGAGCTACAAACTTCCCTTTTGAGAAAGTAGGTAGCGCATCTACAAGCTACTACATAAGCAGCTGGTTTGAAGCTAACAAACAAGTACTTGCATTAAAATTGTTTACAAAATGTAGAAGACAAAAGGGTGTTTATAAATCGAACACAAGCAGAATGTGTGTGTGTGTGTGTGTGTGTGTGTGTGTGTGTGTGTGTGTTTGTGTGTGTGTGTGTGTGTGTGTGTGTACGTTAATCCTTTTTATTGTTGAATCCAGACAAGTAAACATCAACATTGAATTTTATTTTTATTTTTTCCAGAGCTGGAACTCAGTATTTAACTCTTGTTTGTTCATTCATTTGCTCACTCACTGACTGATTCATTTAGTGATTCACATACTATACTAATTCACTTTCCGTCATCATCACTGATTCAGTCATCAATTATAACACTCAATCAATGAATTACGTTTTTGCTTAAATAAAACTCAGATTTACTCACACAACAAATAATTAATTAATTCAAACATTCTATCAATTAATCAAGTAATTAATTCATCGTGTTGTAAACAAATTAATTAATTCATTCATTCGTTCATTCATTGATCAATCTATCAATCCATCCATTAATTCATCCATCAATCTATCGATCCATCTCAATCCGTCTGTCCGTCCTTCCATCCATCCATCCATCCATCCATCCATCCATTCATCCATCCATCCATCCAAACAAACAAAGAAACAAACAAATAAACAAAGAAACAAACACACAAACGAACAAACAAACAAACAAACAAACAAACAAACAAACAAACAAATAATATCTGTTGTATGACAATCTTGCTCCAGAGCTGTATATTAAAATGTTTTGTTCTGAATTCTCCACAGCCATTACTGCTTTTCTTGTTTATATTCAAATATGCAAATATTTCATGGAAACTGTGATCTGCTTTTCAGGATTTTTTAATGAATATAATATTGAAATCAATTGTAATAATTTATTGCATATATCATTGACAATTTGTTTTGAATGCTATTGCAATTTAGTTAGTGATCTTTTTACACTATTCTGAAGGATTTTCCAACCATAACATGCTTTACTGAAGTAAAGCTCAACTACTTTGTAACCTCGTTTTTAAAAGAAAGTGTTTTCAACCAAGATGAAGTCGAACTTGCAATAAGGTTGCTAAGAACACTGCCTAAATGCCCATTTGTACATCAGCAGGAAAAAAAAAGAAAATCATTTGAGAGCAAGTAATTCCATTTTGATTAAAATTTAAAAAGGCACATTTTCTTCTTTGCAATAACAGGCACCATCGTAATTGCTCACTATAAGAGCAGGAAAGATACATTTAGAAAGTAATTTGGCTCAATTTAAGTTTAATTTACACTAGCATATTCCGTGTTTTCTTCATTCCTAATTATCCTTTCTCTTTTCCTGTTTTTCTAGCGCTGAAAGATGACCGTTTTCAGATGGTTCTTTTTACGCCGAAGCTGGTGCGCATCACGTTGACTAATGTAAGTGTGTCAGACGAGGGTGGCTACTTCTGCCAGCTCTACACCGATGATACACACCACCAGGTGGCGACGCTGTCGGTGGTGGTGCCCCCGGAGGTACCCAGCGTGGAGGTGAAAACAGAGGCGGTGGAGGGAGGAGAGGTTGAGCTCACATGTTTGTCCCTGCGGAGCAAACCTCCAGCCACACTGCGCTGGGTTCGAGACCGCAGAGAGATCCCAGGTGAGTTTATTACAAGTGAAAACAACACAGAGATTTACTGTAGACACAATAAATAGGGGTTTACTTTTGTCACAGAGCAGTGTTTACAGAACTTTAGGGGCTGAGTGAAAATGTATCAAATAATTTGTTTATGCTTATCAAAGAGATGCATTGGGACATTTACAATGAAAAACGACTGTATTTACAAACAAAAAGTGCAGTATATACACTGTAAAAAAAGCTAGGTTCCACAAAATTGTTTCATATTGTCCTAACACAAATAGATTAAGTTCAAACTTAATTGTTTTTACAAATTTAAGTTGATGTAACATAAAAATAAGTCTTAAGAATCATGTTGTTTTAGCTTATTTTAATTAAGTAGTTTGAACAAGCAGCAAAAATAATTTTATTATTATAGGTTTTCAGTGTGTATTTATTAAATTATCATTGAAATATGTTTCATCTAAATATTAAAACTAAATTACAGAAACAGATTATTTTGTAATTAAAATGCTAATAATATCCAGTAAATGTCTTTTCCTATTTATAAACAAGCCTGAAATTTCTGCAGCACTGGTTCCAGAAGTATTTTTCTGTTTTCAGAGGGGAATCTTTTTATTTTTTATTTTTTTTAAGTCTCCATTAAAGTCTTATAAGCTTTAAACCAAGCAGCTACAGGGAGAATCACAACATTGTCAATTTTTTTTTCCAAGCAAAAAGCAAAGTTGACAAAAACCTAAACCAAAGGGCACAGAATTTCAGTTAGACATTTCATTTTGTCCTTGCTCTGGGTTAACACTCAAGTCCTTTTGGGAGGAATTAGCAAAACAAACACTGCTACATTTTACACAACATTTATAATAACTCATTATACATTGTGAAAAATCTTGGTGTGCTGGGTAGTTTCTTACCAAAAGCTCATTCTCAAGCTCGTTCATGCTGTCTCTGGCCAGTTGTTTTGGTGTAGTTCCAAGCATGACTGCTGTGTTTATGTATTTCTACCAAACCGAACACAGGGACAAAACGTGACAGGCTGTAAAACATGTGTAAACTCCTTAAAGGATTAGTTCATCTAAAAATTCTAATTTACAGTTATTTTACTCACCCTTAAACCATCAAAGATCATCAGTAGAACATCAAAGATAATTTTTTCAATAAATCTGAATCTATTATCCTTGATTTCTATAAAGCAAGTCAATGGAGGTCCTTTCTGAGATTAAAAATAAACACATACAAACAAGTCCAAATCAGTCCCTATGGCTCCTGCTGTACACTCAGGCCTTATAAAGCTTTTGTTGATTATTCAGCCATATGAATTATTAACTCTAATCCACAGCCTGGGCAAGCAGTTCTCTGCATGTGTTCACAGCGTTGCTGGTCACTTGACGTTTTGGTTTTCTTTTTTTACCTTTTCTGCAAATTTTGACAAACGTGTAATTATATAGTGAGCCATCTTATATGCTGATTCTCAAATATGTGTAAGAATATGTATTTAATCATGATAACAGCTTTATCATGAATATGATGGGTGACAAGTGCTACTAGGTTAGCCTGCGCCGCAGTGGAAAGATCAGAGCTGCTGGTTTTACAACATGTTAATTCATCGAGAGTTTTTTTTTTTTTTTTAAACTTGCTCATCCTCTGATGGTCAGCTACTGCTGTAGCCACTGTGATAGTAGCCTGTTTCTATTTATTTTGTATGTTTGGTGATTGTTTGTACTGTTCTCATGTGTTGATGGATGAGATGGCAAGTGTGTCTATGTTTTTATATTCTGCAGAGCAGGAAGCTGCTGAAAAACAGCATTAATACTGAGTCAGGCCCGATTATCTTTTCCTGTTTAAAAAAAAAAAAAAAAAAAAATATATATATATATATATATATATATATATATATATATATATATATATATATATATATATATATAAATTTAAAAAATCTACTTCTCAAGAAATACATGAAAGTAAGTTGCTGCTTAGCCAGGAGAAACATAAAGTAATTGTTCTAGTAACCTAAACAATGTTTATGTGTTTAAAAATAATTGTTACTTGTCATCTCCATAAACATTAACTTGTAAATTACCATGTTACGTTTAGCTAGTACTTACAGTGCCTATAGAAAATCATCACACCCCTTTGAAATAATGACTTTATTTGTCATACAGCCTGAAGTCAAATCACTTTTCAAATAACATTCCAGCCTTTGAAATGTTTTTGTAGCCTTCTCCTAACCTGTGCCTTTCTACAACTTAATACTGAAGGAGTATTTAAAAAATGTAATGTGAGTAAAGGTATAGATTTTCACAGGTCATGATGCTTTTCTATAGGCACTGTATGGGTATTTATATGTTTGAAACATAAAATAAGCGTTATTTGTTTGAAATGCTGATGAATTGTGATTTAGGACTAGTCTTTTTATGGCTCAGCATTAACCAAAATTCGAAAGCAGATCTTCGAATCTGTGTGTTCGTGTGCTCCAGGGACCGGCCATGACTTATCACACCAGTGTAATTGTACGCATCAAAGCATAAAGCTAATTGTAAATAATGTTACATTTCTTGCAACAACTAAACATTTTGCTTAATAAAACCCCAGTGTATCACAAGGAGCTCCAAAGTTATTTTAAAATGGGTTTCATTTTAATCTCCGAACAACGACTTTGATTACACAAATCACTAAAGATCACAAATTCATCTAAATCATTATTAGTCACCTACTACATACTATGTTCAATGGCCTAAGGTAACTAAATTAGCAGTAAATTTTCATTTTGGATGAACTGTCCCTTTAAGTAATATTGTTTTTTTTTTTTTTTTTTTTTTTGTATTTTGTTAAATCGTTTTAAATTTTAACTTTTTATGTCCTGAATTTTAAAAAGCTGAAATCCCAGGAACCTATTTTTTATTCATTCATTTATTCATTTATTTTCTTTTCGGCTTAGTCCCTTTAATAATCAGGGGTTGCCACAGCGGAATGAACCGCCAACTTATCCAGTATATGTTTACGCAGTGGATGTCCTTTTAGCCGCAACCCAACACTGGGCAACACCTATACACTCTTGCATTTACACACATAGACGGACAATTTAGTTCATTCAATTCACCCATAGCGCATGTCTTTGGACTGTGGGGGAAACCGGAGCACCTGGAAGAAACCCACGCAAACACGGGGAGACAAACAAAAATGTCAACTGACCCAGCCGGGGCTTGAACCAGCGACTTTCTAGCTGTGAGGCGATTGTGCTACTCACTGCGCCACCATGAGGCCCCACCTTTTTATTTTTTACATATACTCCAAAATGCATTTATCAGTTCCACTTACATCTATTTTTAGTCTGAAAATGCGATTGAAATGCTGGCACCATTGAGCTCTGCTGCACATGCACTTACAAACACGAACAAGCACATAAGCACACATGTAAACACAATAGAGTTAACTTCAAAATGTAGAAATCCTCTACATGTGTGCATGTTTGCTTTGTCTCTCTGTCAGACTGTCTGTCTTCATGGTAAATGTCATGCATTTGGACTAATCTCTCTGGCAGCCAGAAAGAAAGGCTTTGCTCTTCTCCCCCATGTGTTTGCTCATTGGCACATTTTCCCCTCTATTGCTTTATGTCACTCTATCGAATTTCAAATGCATCTGTCCATCTGGGTCCCTTCAGATGTGTGCAGAGAAGCATTTTTTTTTTTTTTTTGTCGAATACATCCCACATACACACACATGCAGAGAGAACTGAATCCAGGTGCTGCTCCAATCTGTGCCTTTATTTCTGTTCTGTCAACTCTACCTTTCCTTTCCTGCTTTCTCTCCCTTTCTTTTACCTCACTGCCATTGCATTTGCTCTATCTCTTTGTTTCAGCTTTGCTTTTCTGGGCTCCTAGCAGGGGGAAAAAAATCTTGTAGAAAAAGAATGACAAAGACGCTGAGAAAGAGAGGCAGGGAAGGAAGTTCAGGGTGAGATTGTAGGTTTGGTGCTCTATCAATGTTGCTGGAATATAAAGTCGTGAGCACAAGTGTCTGTTTCTGTGCGACAGATTCAGTAAGACGGGTTTCAGCTCGAGTTTCGACTTCTGAGCCAGTCGGTGTTCTGCTTCGGTGAAAATAATTTAAATGTCTGTCTGATCAAGGTTATTGCCGCAAGATCACACAAGTGAGAGTTCTATAAACAAGTTCTTGTCAAGTTACTTGTTGGAAATCAGATTTGCGGTTATTTCAGCAGGGATAGTGCTTGGACTGACATTTTTCCTGGAAATAGCCAAATGCAAAAACACAGAGCTCTGCAAAACTAGCAACATTATCTGATTATGTCAGATTATTGTGGGGAGGTAACAATGCATGATACATTATAATGTTCAGCTTGTTAACATTAGTTAATGTATTAATAACACTGAATAATATATGGTATTTATTTATGAACATTTTGATACATTCAGGCCTTTACATTTACTTTTTTGATCAACAGCCACTGTGGCTACTAGTTTTTCATCATCACTAGCCCACAATTTTGTTGTTGGAAAATAAATTTTAATAATAATTTTATATATATATATATATATATATATATATATATATATATATATATATATATATATATATATATATATATATATATATATATATATATATACATATTGTCATGTATCTAAAAATATGCACAGTAGTCTGTCCTGGCTAAAGGTCTCAGATGACCAGATAGCTAATTAATTTCCTATAAAGCTTTGTTATTGAAAAGGATGATAATTAAACTATATTAACAAAAAATAACCAAAGCAAAAGAAACACATGAAAAACATTCCGTGTGAAAGTATGATCCTGCGCACACAGTTAACATTAGGCCCTTTTATAATCTGTGTAAAGAATGTTTAAAGCGAAAGCTGCAACCGCTGCTGCTTACATAAAATCCTTTTTTTATCTCAATTCCTTAAAAGTGGTGCATGAGAAACGCTTTTTGTATAGTCTTTCAAAAAGAATCGATCGTAGCAGTTGCGTTTCCAGGAACGGTTGCTTCATGCAAGGAATCG